GTAAGTATGATGTGAACCAAAATTGGGACATTTATTATACAGCGAGTGCCATTAATATAAACATACTTTGAAAATCAATCATTTTCCTGCTTATCCATTACTACTAATGGACATTTGCATGTGTGTGTTTGACTTTTATGGCCTTTTCAAACCAGAAATTTCTATATACATATACTTACTTCACTAACACCCTTGACGTCACTCATTGTGCAAGGAACATATTCATCCTGTGCGGGAGGGATCACCGTCGTCCATGAATCCATTTGCTTCCTTCCCGGCAGGGAAGTTGACGTGAGTCCATTTGCCGGGAATACAATAATATCCGCACCCTACAGGGAATTTTCGACCGTAGACATTTATCAATTCGAGAAATCTCTCCGCATTATATAAATGAATATCATCGAACAACCGATAACGTCCGAAGGCTGCAGACTTACGTGTTGGCTCGCTTCTTCTATGTATTTGATGTACGCGTCTGCGTTCTCTTTTAAAGTCAATGGACCATTGCCCCTGTTGTAAACAGGTGTATATTCAACCACCGCTGCGGTATAATAATTCGAAGAGTCTTCTGGATCTTCCACCTATTCAATACCAATAGCAAATTGAATACAATCGTTAAGATATTCTCAATCACCTTATCAGAGTGTTAAATTATTTCTTTCCTTCTCGATTCATTCAGATATTCCATTTTTTCTTTTCTCTCTTAGACACAGAATTGTTTTACTAATTTTTGGAAAAATCTCAAGTTCGAAGTTCGAGTCTCAATCTCACCTGATAGGCAAATGTTACAAAAATCACAAGGAATAATCCAAACACCAACACGGATAACTTTTCACACATCATGATGATATTTTCCTCTGCGATCAGACAGTTTTGGCACGTTAATCAGAATCACGCGCCCGAGTTCACGCTTGCATAAAAAGAAGTTAAAAAAGAGATTGCATAAGTAACTTGTGACTCGTACTTTAAGAGTTGAATTTTAACTGCTGCGAAGTGAACGTCTCTTATTTATACAAGATCGCGGTAAGCGCACGGGGATTACCAACGTTTGCTGAACTTGTCCTGACGCTGACAATGACCGGTCTGAGTGGGAGAAAAGTGCAAACATGGAGTGAATAATACGCAACTCCCTCCACATCAAAGGAGGACAGGAAATTTTCATGTTTCCGAAAGAAGCGTTATCGTCTCGTTTCTGTCGTAGCCAATTACTGCTCGTGGAGTGAAACGTAACAGAGAACGTGTTTCCTCTCCTCCGGCAAATGTTCGTATGTCCTCGGTGATTCCTCTGAGTCTGACAACTTTTAAAAGACTCATTTTGTTCTTACATAAAATGTTAGTTGAACGTTTGTAGAATATAGTACTCAAATTAGAACGAAGTTCGCAGATCCGAGAAGTCGCCATTGTTATCCAGGCCTATGAGGAAGCTGAGGGACCACTTTAAAGGAATATTTGCAAGGGATAGTCGCAGGGGACAAGCTTGCAGTACTTAAAAGAAGTACCTGTAGTTGGAAGTTCGAGATATAATATAGGGAAAAGTATGTAAAAGCTGGATGCTCCTAAAGGATCTACTGATTTCTGTGGAGCAAATGGTTAAGATTCCAGAGCATGATTCAGATCCCCTGCTTTTTTGGGTCCAAGTGGGAAGCTGGACTCTGCGACTCGGCCTGGTAGCAGGGACTCATTAGTACTCATGACGATGGACACAACTTGACTCTATCTCTACCCCCACCACCATCACGATTCGACGCATGGAGAGCGTCCAACTCCTCACTTGGGTCCAAAGAGCAGGGGACTCACCTCAGACCCATAGTTGCCAGCAATACTCCGGGCCAGAATGTACGATTTCTCTTCTTCCCTTGCTGTCCTCCATTACTTTTTCTCCCCCCACTTACGTTACCTATGGTTATTGAAGCCGAATAGTGCCATATGTAATTGAGGAGAGAGCGGGAAGAGGAGAAATCCTACATTTTGGCAGCGCTTGTTGGTTTAATGGGAAGCAGGTTATAAGGATAAAGAACTGCAATAAAGAATTGAAACAATCGATTTTAAATCTTTTTCCGTGCTCTTTCTTATGTTGTCGGATTCCAACTGAATCTAAACGTCTTATGCTCGAGAGATCCTTCTCCCTATAATCGTTATCAGTATTTTATGTATGGAAGTGTGTTTATGTCTATAGAATTAGTTCTCTAAAGCATGATCTCATAGGGTTGGACTTCCTTTGTAAGTATAGGATAAACTTGCTGAGAATATGATAAGGAAGATTGTTTTTTGTATATATGTATATCTATAGCGCTGCCTGTACCTCCTCCTGCGCCTTTTGTTCCTTTATCCCCGTGGCGGCTTTTCTCTGTGAACCTCGCGCCACCTCCGGATCCGCCGCAGAACGCAAGCGCAACTCACAGGGTACGCATAATTTTTCCCTCACGGCTCGCTTTTCCTCTTTTTCGCCCGTATTTCGATCCCCACCACTATTCCCCTCATGTACCTTCGCTGACCATGCCTAGCATACCCCCATCAAGTACCAGTCCCCACCATGGTCGTGTCGTCCTCACTTTCCGGCCGAGTGTGGGGTCGCACCGATGGCTGGGTTAGCCACGTGCTCGGAGACCTTCGTCTTCTTGATCCTGTTGTAGCCCCACAACCTCTACTCAGGATCGGGATCGTTGTAGAAAGGATTGAACGACGTTGGATGTGAACTAACTGCTATTTATTGGTCACTTGCACTTGCAATCAATCGATCGCCGTAATGGCGTTTACCGGAACACGCTTTGTGTCTGGACGGTTCGTCAAGGCTCTGTGTCTCAGACGCTTATCTGCGTCTTTACAGAAGACGGTTAGCGACGCAGGGCGCGCATGCGTGCTGCGGTCAGCACGGTCGAGAGAGTGAGGGCCGGTGCCCACACGAGGGAAAAATTATACGCACCCTGGCGATTCATCATGTTGACCGCGGGCGCACGTGCGGGTCTCGCGACTCCTGCCGCGATAAAACCGACGCGGAGGATGAGACGCTACTATTTACCTATGGTCTGTCCCATGTTCGGCTCGTTCCAATTCATTCAATATTGACTATTTGTTTTTCCTTCCGGTGATTTGTTAAGATTACATATTGCTACCGATGGAACGGAGACGAGAAATAATAAATTACGAATCTGAATCGTGTATGTATACTCACATCCTTGGAATATCCCTGAGGAATACCCTCAGATGCTACCGGTGTATCTCCATTACACAATCATTAACAAAACCTGTCGGCATTGATTCACAGATTCTCTCTAAATATGTCTCTATATGTATAGAGCTCAATGCTAAACAGTGTGGAAATGCCTTGACGACATGACCGCACCTTCCACAGACGGTTTTTTGTGTCGACCTTGTTTTTACGTAGAAATGGTACGTCCGTTTCGAATGACAATGAAAGCGTATACAGGGTCCAATGAACAAACAGAGAGAACATTATTACGAAATTGGTTTTTGATATTTCGATGGAGTCCTCTTTGCTCAATTTACTTTGCTTCACTTTAACGGAAGTAATCGAAATTCCATGGCGAATGGAATTGGAATGGGAGTTCGTGATGCTCATTATATTTTTCATTAGATAAATACAGCCTCTTGATTATTCTAATGTTTAACCCTTTGCCGTACCATTTAGCTTTTAGCTCAACGAAATCCGTGTCCATGCGGTTGGGGACGATGCGCGCTAAACGGATAGCGCTTATGCTTGGCCCGCACTTAATTGCGAGCGAGTCTCACTCGTCATGTTTACTTTTGGCCCGTATTTGTTTTCACGAATCTGACTCGTGATATCCATGTTTGGACTAAAAATTGTTATCACGAGTCTGACTCGTTAAAGTACTGCAAGGTTTTAAGAAACGCTTAAGTCTCTAAGTGTAAGTTTAACTTATTGTTAGTTAATATATCAATTAGTTTATCGAAGACCAGTTCTCGAACATCCTTAGCCACCAAAAAGTCAAGGTGATTAAATTTCTTGTATGGCACTGTGTAGAAAATTGGTTTATGAGGTAGCTTTTTAACGAATCTCGTGACATCCTAAAACGAAGATAAACGACAATAAAATCGAGGCGAGCATATCTGGAAACCTATTTAAATCAAAATACAGACTTTAGGGGTAGAAAGCCAATCGTTCTCGCCCCAGAACATGGCGATCGGTGTTATGATCCTTGATATATTATACTTCGGTGGTTCGATGCTATTGTAAATCTTCAGATTTTTGTATCTACCGTAGTCGTATTGTCTAAAGTAACCGTATTGGATCGACTGGGCGTAATGCACGATTTGCTTGATAGATCCACCAGCCGGTAAGTAGTTCACCAACTTAGGCATTAATTTCTACGATAATTAACGATTTTCGTTAATTATTAAAAACTGCATGTACGAAAAATCGCATAATATAGTTATAGTTAGCGCATCTCTGTGTACTCACGTAATCAAATTCTTTATTGTCGAATCCAACTATGGAGAAAAACACATTAGAGCAAATTTTTTCTTCCAGAATATTGAAAGAACAGATGTATTTCATAAACTTCCTAAGAACAACATCGTCCTGTAAGAACTCGCCATGTGAGAGGATATCAAATGTAGTCTAAAGATTGAGATAACGTCTAATTAGAATTAAACCTGCTTCGTCCAGTGAACCGGACTCATTATCGATAAAATTATCCTATTCTTTACCTTCAAGGGGTCTTTGGCTAAGGATAAATGTTGCAACACGGGAGATTTCTGGTATTGCAAGTATGCAATCGGGGCTAAGAGGTACGCCGATTGCACCATTCGTGTTACCTGCGGTCGCTCGCTAGATAAGACAAAGAAAGCTGTTGTACCCATCGAGTATCCGATGTAGGCCCTTAATAAGCTCTGTTTCGTTTGCACGATATAATTGATCATCGCCGGTAGATCGTAAATGCCTGATTCGTGCCAGCTGAATAAACAACCAT